GTTTCTGTGATCAGCTCCATGAATTTGTCTCTCCAATGTGCTGGAGGCACAGCTGTCCGTTTTTCTTTGAGGACCAGAGGTGCCTCAGGGCAGGGCCTGCTGGCTCAGCCAGATCAGCTCTGTCCATGGCCATTGACTGTGGGCTTTGCCCACCCACTCGAGCTCCAGGGCTTTGTTCTCCCCTCTGTATCTGCTCCCACCATGGGACTCTGCTGTTCAGGCACCTCTCAAAGCAGTCCTCTGGTGCTGAGTGTCTGAGAGATGCACCTTATTTGAATAGATTTGAATAATGTCTACTTCATTGTGCCATTAAGCCTTCAGTAAAAAAGAATCACTTCTATAATTCAACAATGAGTTTATCAAAACCTCTGAATGGAAGCTGCTGGCAGAGGCAGGTTTTAAGCATCTGATAGAGGTTGTTACAAAATTTGGAAATACACCTGTTTTATGTACCTTTTTAAAGTTTACCCTTAAGAGCCATCTCTCACATCTGATCTCTGCTTTCCATGTTCACTCAAAATCTTGCAGGAGAATGGCGGCTTGGATCTGCAATAAACGGGCTATGGAGCTCTGTCAGGAGAGGTTTAGGTGGAGATAGGAAAGGTTCATCCCCAGATGGTACTGGCACTGCCCAGGCTCCCCAGGGAATGGGCACAGCCCCGAGACTGCCAGAGCTCCAGGAGCCTTTGGACAGAGCTCCAGGGATGCCCAGGTGGGATTTTGGGGTGTCTGAGTGGGGACAGGGGCTGGGCTGGTTGATGCCTGTGAGTCCCATTCAACTCAGAGGATTCCATAATCTCTGATAAGAGTGCTCAGAAACTACTTGAGTGGGCAAAGAAAGGAGATCTGAGCTCTTGAAGTCTCCCCACCAAAATTGCACTTGATGAAGCCAGCCAGCTGCTCCTTAGACCCTCAGTGTCCTAGTGACGCCTACCTAGGTCACACCAGGTGACAGGCAGGGCAGGGCTGGTGCTGGTGAGGTCTCCAGTCGAGGTCACAGTGAAGCTGCTGGTTGAAATGTCACATTTTCCTCCCTGAGTGCAGAAGCTGGTCCCTGGCTCCAGCACTGATTGCAGAGGGTGCAGCATGTCCTTCACTCCTGACCTCCCTGCTCAAATTCCAAATTCCTCATTCTGTCACTCAACTCACTCCTGACCTCCCTGCTCAAATTCCACATTCCTCATCCCTCACTGCTCTGAGTCATTCCCTCCCTGCTCTGTCTCTGGCCGTGAGCAGCACTCAGAGATGCACAATGAGTCACAGTTCAGAAAACAGGTGCCTGAACGGGGGCTGTCAAAAATAAATGTGCAGGACTTGATTCTTTAGGCGAGTTTTTGTTGTTATTAACTGCAACTTGTCTCAGGAAAAGCTGGATTGATGGACAATAGGCCATTTTTCCCCTTTTAGTTTTAAGATGGAGCTTAGCTGCAGCAAAGTGATGTTGTGCTTAATTCCTTCCAAATTAGTTTGCAACTGCTTGACAGATTTTGGGTGCATCATTATCCTTGCTATGCATGGTTGAGAGAAGTAAGGATCCCCACGCAGGGAAGTATTAACAATATTTTACCAACCCTCATCTTTTTTGGGATTGTTCAGCCTGAAAAATAAAAAGGTTTTGGGTTGACCTAACTGTAGCCTTTCAGTACCTGAAGGGCCCACCAGGAAAGATGGAGAGAGATTTTACAAGGGCCTGGAGGGACAGGACACAGGGAATGGCTCCCACTGCCAGAGGGCAGGGCTGGATGGGATCTTGGGAATTGGGAATTGTTCCCTGGCAGGGTGGGCAGGCCCTGGCAGAGGTGCCCAGAGCAGCTGGGGCTGCCCCTGGATCCCTGTCAGTGCCCAAGGCCAGGTTGGACATTGGGGCTGGGAGCTGCCTGGGACAGTGGGAGGTGTCCTTGCTCCCTGCAGGGTTTGAGATGAACTTTAAGGTCATTCCCAACCCAAAGATTCCATGATTCTGATTGTTTTATGGGCAGGTTGACAATGGAAGGAAGGAGGCTCTCCTTCCTTCCCAGCTCTCTGTGCTGTGGAACCAGGAGAGCAAAGAGGAGCAAGATGTGTGACCTTGAGGACCAAAATAAAAATTCCATGGAAAGGGAAGATTGTGCCCACAGGGACGCATAATGAGAGTTTCTGCTGCACACTCAGGGTTCATTAGTTGGAAAGGGCAGAGGAGGAGAGAGGGTCTTGCCTGGGGCTGAGAGATGAGCTAAATTCCTGTCCAAGTCCCTTCAGCTCTGTGACTGAGAGCTATATAATGAACAGCTTCTGTTTCTTTCTATTTTATGACGTGCAGGAGACTCAGGGTGATTTTGGTACCACAACAGAGGCACTGTCAGAGCCTGAAATGCCTCTCAGGTGGTCGAAAACGAGGAGCAGAGAGGGGCACTTGGAGAACTGGAGGAGGCAGTGCTTGTGTTCAGGGAAGGAATTCAGAGTGTTGCTCTTCCAGTTGATCCAAAAGAGGGCTGAGATCCAAAAGAGAGCTGAGCTGTACAGCAGGGTAAAGCCCAGGGAGAGGGTTAAGGCACAGAAGAACGTGAGGCAGATTAATAAATTGAAGTGTGAACGATTTGAGGTTAAAAGAAAGTTTCTGGTGGCAGAGTGGTGAGATCCAGACCAGGGGATCTGGAAAGGTCTCCCAGAGGTGATGGCACAGGCTGAAAGTGTAACTGCTCCTAAAGCAGAGAATGGTGCTTTTATGTGTTATTGTCTGTGTTAGTGGAGGGCTGGATTTGGTGACCCCTGAGATGGATTTTCCAGCCTCCTGTTTCTGCAGGTTGGCTGGAGGATGATGAATGTGTTGCTGAGCATCCTCATAGGTTGGGAGGGTCACCTTTCCATCCATGGTCTGCCATGGGCAGGAACACCTGCCACTGTCCCAGGCTGCTCCCAGCCCCAGTGTCCAACCTGGCCTTGGGCACTGCCAGGGATCCAGGGGCAGCCACAGCAAATCTGGGAATTCCAGCCCAGCCCCTGCCCACCCTCCCAGCCAGCAATTCCCTGCCAAGATCCCAGCCCAATCTCCCCTTTCCCAGTGGGAACCATTCCCTGGCTCCTGTCCCTCCATCCCTTGTCCCCAGTCCCTCTGCAGCTCTCCTGGAGCCCCTCCAGGCCCTGCCAGGGGCTCTGAGCTTTGCCTGGAGCCTTCCCTTCTCCAGGGGAACATTCCCAGCTCTGCCAGCCTGGCTCCAGAGCAGAGGGGCTCCAGCCCTGCAGCAGCTCCATGGCCATTAATCCATTGAAAACAAATACATTAAAAAGTATTAAAAAATACAGTCTATTATTCAGTTGCTCCTTCACTGTCTTCCCTCCATCACTTCTCTGTGTGGTCCTTGCTGCCCATTCTGCTCAGTGCTGAGGGTGAGCACAAGAGCTCTCTGTAACCCCAGTGCCATCCTCCAAGCTCTGGAATTCAGCAGAACTGTTTCATTAACAGTAGAATAAGTAAAATACTTGAGTCTGTCCAAAAGAAAGTCAGCTTTGTGCTGGATTCTTCCTCCCCCCATAAGGCAGAAGTCTGTGGGCTCTATTCCTGCAGTTCCTTCTCCAAGCTCCCTCCATTGCCTCTGGCAGTTGAGTCTCTGGGTTCCAGCACCAGGGTGTGCTTGTTTCATTCTGGGAAAAGCTTTACTCTGAGTTGGGTCCCTGTGTTGGGGGTGGGGAGGTGAGGAATCCTGCTGTCATAAACCAGGCAGGCAGCAGCTTCCATCATCCAGCCTGAGCAGCATGTATTTATCTGCCTGGCACAGACCAGCAAACACTGCTGTGATCGTTGCAGTAAATGGGAGATATGGAAAGTTGTAAGTTTCATTTTGCTTGCTGTTGTCTCCTTTTGTCTTTTTAATTGAGCAGCAGTAATTTAACAGCATGTTTGACTCCTGTTCAGGCTTTTTCATGGCTTGCATTGCATTGAGTTTCTGTTGAATATTTGAGTACTATGATGTAGTTTGATGCCTGTTGGAAAAAGAACTAATTATTTCATTAACAGCCGAGTGGAATTTGTCCATACTAAACAAGAAAACAGAAAGCACTGAGTGTATTGGGTAAAATAGTGTTTCTCAGCTTTTTTAGCTGTTGTGGAACAAAAGAAGAAACTCTCCTGAACCTGTACTCATTGGTGAACACTTGCGTCCTAATCTGACTGTTATTGCAGCCCACAGTAGCACTGATCCTGCGTACCTGTGTGTGGGGTTGGGGCCCAGCTGAGAACATACTTTAGTTTCTGGGCTGGGCTGTTGTATTTTGGCTTTCTAATGACATACTTAAGCTGGCTGTTGATCATTCAGGTAAAATCTTCACAAGAGTGCAGTGGGAGATGGTCACAGACACTGAGGGTCAGCAAGGGATCCAGTCTTCTGCTCCTCCAGGGAGAAAGCTGACTGTCTATTATACAGTAGAATCACAGATGGAAGGGGCCCTTAAAGCCCATCTAATTCCCCCTGCCTTGGACAAGGACACCTTCCACTAGACCAGGTTGCTTCAAGCTCCATCCAACCGGGCCTTGAACACTTATTTTTGTTCTTGGGAAAATGTTCTTTACTGTGTTAATGCACAGAGTGCTGTTGAGGGGGTATATGGACTTAAATTGTGGAAATAGAATTTGGAGTATCGAGTGGCCGTGGTGGTGCATGCTGATATCAGTGACAGGCTGATGGGGTCGATGGAACAAACCCTCAGTCCTGTTGATTACATAAGCTGCTCCTTTGTTATTGAATTTAGGGAGAAATATAAGCCTTGTGTAGTGCTTGACTTTTTCATAGCCTGATTTTTATTAAGTGAATGTGTTTTCTTGTGATGACTCGTGTTTTGATTGTTGCTGACAGTGGTTTTAGCTTTGCTGGCTGTGTGCTGGAAATCTGCCCAGCACAGCAGTGTGGTTCATGGTGGTTCATGCCCTGGGGCTTGTAGGAGCTGGAGGAGTGATGCTGGGGGAGGAGGGAGGGTGGAACATGCTGTTTAACATTTGTTTTCCCCCGCTGTTTCCCCTGCTGCAGACTGTACCAAAGCCTATCGCGCTGGAGCCCTGCTTTGGGAACAAAGCAGCCGTTCTCTCCGTCTTCGTGAGGCTGCCTCGAGGGCTCGGGGGTATTCCACCACCAGGACAGTCAGGTGAGCATTGCTGTTGTCTCTGGTGGCTTGGCATTAACTCTGGACTCCTTCCCCAGCCTTACAGTTCATCTTTCCTGGTCCCACAGAAGCTGCTGTAGCCACAGTTCAGCTTGGGATGTGCTCGAGGCTTTTTAGGCTCCCTGGTCTGGGCCCTGCTGGCTTCCAACATGAGTTCTGAGTTAATTACTAAGGTCGATTAATGGATGAACATATGATATTGGACTATGCTTTAATTAACAGCTGGGTGGGGGAAAGAGGGATCAGGTACAGCCATGTTTGCAGTAGTTACCTGTGAAGGTAACTTGTCACTTGGCCTATCCAGTTTAGTTCCCAGCTCCATTTGCAGGGGAACATCAACTCACAGAATCATGGAAAGATTTGAGTTTGAAGGGACCTTGAAGATCATCCAGTTCTACCGCCTGCCATGGGCAGGGACACCTTCCTCTATCCCAGGTTGCTGCAAACCACAGAGCAGCCACAGAGCAACTTGTGCCAGGGCCTCCCCCACCTCACAGGGAAGAATATCCCATCTAACCCTGTCTGCTGTCAGTCTGAAACAATTCCCCCTTGTCCTGTCACTACAAGTCCTTTCAGAGCATCTCTGCTCTCCTCTTAGGAGCTCTGGACAAAGAGCTTTTCCCCCTTTTGTTCTCAACCCCTTCAGACCCAAACCTGGTGCCAGGGCACTGGGTCATCATCTCCTGGGCAGTGTGAGATTTAACTGGGGTTCCCCAGTGACCTTGGCGAAGCAAAGGCTTTGGAAAAAGAGTTAGCAGGGTTTGAATTGGATGGTTTGGTGTTGAGCTGGATTGAGCCAAGTCCCAGATGTGGTTTGTCTGTGAATAGAGCAGCGAGGCCCTGGTACAGGGCACCCAGAGCAGCTGTGGCTGCCCCATCTCTAGAATCTTCCAGGCCAGGCTGGACAGGGCTTGGAGCACCCTGGGATAGTGGGAGGTGTCCCTGCCCATGGCAGGGGGTGGAACTGGATGGGCTTTAGGCTGCCTTTGAACCCAAACCATTCCATGACTCCCTGATCTGCCATGAGGAGGTTGCAGAGGTGATGTATCCACGGGAAGGGCAGTGAAACCTCGGTCCACTTTTGTTTCAGGTTTATTGTAGTCCATCTACGGATGCAGGGAAAGACACCTTCAATGTTAAGGATTGAGGCTTCCACATTTAGAGTTTTACATCCACTAATACCCACTCTTATTGCTTCTTTTCCTCTCGCTGTTGCTTCTAATTAAACATGCAGTATTTCAGCTCCTTTCAGAATATTGGCTGGAGTTTCATTCTTGGGCCACAACACTTTTCTAGTTTATTAAAAAATTCTACACCCTTTGTGGCCTGGAGGGGTTTTCTGAGCTCTTTCTGCAGGTTTGTTGCTGTGGCTGTTGTGTGATGTTTGTTCTTTGCCAGGTCTCGCCGTGGCCAGCGCTCTGGTGGACATTTCACAACAGATGCCAATTGCCTACAAAGAGAAGTCGGGCGCCGTCCGGAATCGGAAGCAGCAGCCCCCTGCACAGCCAGGAACCTGTATTTGATGCATGGACATCAGAAACTGTCTAGGGTTTTAAACACAATGGAAAAGTAATACCAAGGAGGAGGAAGATTTCCAAGTCGTGTCCCAAGAGACTAGAAGCACCCGGAAAAACCACAACTTCCTTGAACCCAGTTTTTTTCTCTCATCTACGTGCTAGTTGGCTTTATTTGACAACTGCTCCACTTAAGTTTTACTGACACGTGGCTTCAGATTGCTCCTTTGTTTTCTTCAAGTTTAAAGCAGAATGGTTTCGTTGCAGGTGCGGTGAGGTCCAGCGCCGCCACTCCTGGTCAGTGTAAATACAACAGTAGTCCAATGAATGACACTCAGGTTTCTACATGGAAAGTGCTTTGTAGTTCATGTATTTATCAAACTGTACAAAAAGAAAAAGATTCAGTGTTTACAGGTGTCAGCTCTCAACACATAAACACTACTATTAATCTTCAAAGCATCTTCATTCTTTGTTTTCATTTAATATTTAATTGTTCCCTCATTATTTCAGTGGAACTCTCTTGCAGGCACAGCCTTTTTGTAGTCATCATGGTCCAGGAATGCAAAAGCTGGGATGGTTTAAAGGTTGCTCAGATGTTGCTCAGACCATATGAAATAACTGGAAAGTTGGATGTTGCTTTGGAAAGACTCAGTGTTTACATAGTCTTAACCTGCTTGGAGTACACCACACACAAGTGCCTAGACGTGAACAGATCTAGGGAGTAAGGAGACTGCTACACACGCTGCTTTTTAACATAACTAAATTCCTTTGAAGGTATGTATACTCACATCTAGAGTCACCCAAGGCACTCTGTGTCCTCTGTCCCATGCAGTCAGAGGAAAATCGCATTTTCCTGACCAACCAAATACTCACCCAGGTGCAAATACCTGCAAGGCACGTAGAGTTTCAGTATCCCATAAGAAAACTCCCGGTTTCACCAGCATTTTCATAGAAGCAGTCTGTGTTCCAGGTCAGACACATCACATTTTTCTGATTTTGGCCTCCTTCCTCCCCCTTCCCTCCTGCCATCCTCTGGATGAGAGCTGAGCTTGGAGGCATTGCTCCCCAGTGGTTGTGGTTTGCTCCATCTTCTTACAGGGTGTAAAAAGCAATGCTCCAGGTGCTAGGGCACTTGAGGATGAAGTTAAAAAAGAACTTCAAATAAAGATCAAGCAGAGCAGCTTTGTTTTGCCACAGGTTTGAGTTCTCCACGATGAGACCCTGGTATTTCCTGTGTGGCTTGAGCTCTGTTAGAGGTTGAAGAAGTCGCTGGTTGGTGAAAGGATGAGACTTGCAAACAGCAAAGAGAAGGTTTGGTTTTTAGGGGTGCATCAAACCATCTGAACTGCTCTGCCAAGCTGGGATTGTGGTTTGAGGCTCCAGGCTGGACTGAGGCACCCGTCTGTGTGTGGTGGTGTCCAGTGTGTCCCTGGAATGTGGCACAGGGCCTGGGGGGGCTGCAGTGGTGGGAAGGTGTCAGTGAAGGCTCCAAATGAGGGCTGTGATTATGGCTCCATCAGTCATCGTGGGTCACCCAGGTCACTGGGCTGCTGTGGAGGACATCTGATATTTAATAATGGAGAAGTAACACATGAAGGGAAGTGCTCTTGGGTCTGGCCAGGCAGCACCTTTCCAAACTGAAACCCAAATAACTGCTCCTGTTTTGTGCATGTTCTGGTGATCAGTCACGTGTCAGCCATTCATTTCTGGGGTGTTTTCTTTCTAACCATGTATTTTGAAGAAGCTCTTTGGAGCCTGGCAGCATTGCAATAAAGAGGTGAATTGCTGTGTGTGTCCAGACAGTGGTGATGGGAACAGCCTGATGGCTTAAGGACTGTGGTGGATGATAATTCTGATTTAATGTGTCATTCAACAAGTGCAATGGGACTGCGAAAAAATATTGGGACTGCAGAAAAATATTGGGAAAAATGCATTATATATAAAAATATATGTAGATGCATCTGTTTCTAAACTAGAAGTTTCAGTGCTCTTTGGGAAGAAGGAATTATGATCAGAAAAGGGTTGAGATTTGTCTTAGAATGAAGGGATTTAGGCAATTTAAGTTTTACCTGATGCACGGATTACCTCAGACAGATTCATCTCCTGATAATATTTTCTGACTTGCTCAGTGATAGGGTTAATCTGAACTGGAGAAATAAGACTGGACTAAAATCCCTCCCCTGTTACTGTGTATTTTCAGCCACGATGCACATCCTGATGTTTGCAGATTTCTTCTTGCTGTTTTTGGGAGGAGAGCTGCCAGCCCAGATGGTGAAAGCCCCAGTGCTTGGGTTTCCCACTTCAGGACAGCTCTTGGGCAGGTGCTTAAAGTTGTTGGGTTTTCCTGATCACAAACAGCTTTCAGGACTGTAGGCCTGGAGGGGTGACAGATTTTTACAGACATAAATACAGAGTTTGGGACGTTTTCTCACTCCTGGAGAGCTGGGCTGTGTCGTCTGCAAAGCCTGCAGTGTGCCAGGAGTGTGGCCAAAATGAGGTGTCAGATACTGAAAAAATGAGCAAAAACGATCAAAGTCAAGGTGTATCAGAACCAAAAAATGTGAATAGAGCAACAAGAGTTACTTACATAACTAAAAGGACCTGATTCCTTTAGGATGTAGCTCTACCCTGCATCTGATCAACATCCTGATGAGGGAGAAGAGAATTCTCATACATAGCTCTGCTGCAGTTTCATCCCAGCTTAGAGGTAAACAGGGAAAAACATGGGAAAGGCTCGGGGAAGGAGGAATTGCTGGCAGTTTATCACCAGGCCAGTATCAAAAGTGAAGGAATTTTGGGTTTATTTCATTTGGAGGAGAGGTGGGGGACAAAGAACAACCTTATTTCATGGGAGAATCTGTAAATAAATGACAAATGGCACACAGATTTTGCACTTGTACATAAACTCTACCGTAACATGCAGAACATGGAGAGATTTAAAGTGTATATAAACCAGAAAAAATATTGAATGTATTTTTGATGATTTTAAATTATGTATGAGTTTTGTCTTAATAACTCCTTCATCTGATCAGTAGTAGATAACTTTCCACAGCTTTAAACACCAGATTATATAGTGATATCTTGCAAAGCAGGGATGCGTAACTTGACTTTTGTGTGTTCAAATGTATTTCACTTAAATGTAGAAACCAAGGTAAATAATGGTTTTTCCATTTGAAAGGGGGAAAAGCAACATTGGGATACAAGTAATAAAGGTCCTTAAAGTGGTCACTACATGGAGGATTAAATCAGTAGTGTAAGGCCTTTGTTACTAAAATTGTGACAGTGTTTCCATTCAAAATCACTATTTTCAGGTGTTTATGACTGGCTGAAATTCAGCATTTGACATCTCAACCCTCAGAAGATTTTCATTCTCTGAGAGGAGCCTCTAAAAAAATTAGAAATGAAATTTCAGAACTGTTGGAGCCCTTTTCTTCGAGAAAACAATGGTGCCAGTGGATCTCCAAATAACACCCTTTTTTTAAAATTCACCATTTTCCATGAGTTTTAGCCCAGAATTTTCTCTGGGCAGGTGTAGCATGACCTTGCAACTCTCTGGCTCAATATTTTGGATATAAGAATATTTATGAGACACAACTTTTCAGTTGTTACTATCACTTTCCCTGGGCTTAAAACGCACTGTAGTGAAATTACCAAAATAAAGCTATTTATGGTGGGAAATGCCTGTGATGAACATCAAGCCATGGCATGTAATGTCCAAAATTCAGTAGTGTGGAACCATGGACAGCCTCTGCTGGCAGATCCACCCTCCTGAGGATGCTTTGTGTCCTCCTTGGAGGGTGCCCAGGAGCTCCAGCTCTGTGCAGGAACGTGCCCAAGGTGCCCAGGCCCTGCTGGGGTTTGTGGGGTGCTGTAAATGGCACTGAGCCTGCTGGGGTTTGTGGGGTGCTGCAAATGGCACTCAGCCTGCTGGCCCTGCAGGAGCTGAAAGGAGCCTTTGGGCCTGAAACCAAACCTGGGGCCTTTTCCATACCCCTGGGGCTCCAGTGCCATGGGCTGGGCTGCCCCCGTCCTTTGCTGCTCCAGCTGTTCCAGCTGCTTTTCCTTCTCCAGGCACCAACAGCATCCAGAGCCCTCAGCCCCTTCCCACGGGAAGCTGGGATTTATTGATAATTGCTGGGATTTATTGATATTACCTGGGATTTATTGATATTAAGCTCTGTGTAAGACAGCAGCCAGCAGGCTCTGCGTGCCCAGGGCAGCCCCTGAGCCCCTCCCGGGTTTCTCCATCTGGGAACACCCAGGAGAGGAGAAGGGGCTGCCCTGGCAGAGCCCCTGGAGCTGCAGGACAGGGGACAGGGCTGGGCTGGGCTGGGACAGGAGGGAAGGGATGGCTCGGGGTGTGTGCCTCAGTTTTGGGTGTGTTCTTTGCAATTTTAGACAAATTCCTGCTTTTTCTATTGGTAGCTGCTGAAACAAGCTGAGTTTCCATGCCAGGACTACTACAGTATGTGTATCTGCTGATTTTCTCTGCATCAGGGCAGGTTTTGTTCAGTCTGTTTCTTTGTTCACACAGACGATTTGTGTGCGTCTTCCAGGTACTAGAATTCTTTAGACATTTCCTCTCCATTTAGTATTGATTCCACAAACCTCACCAGTTGGAAAAAAGAGAAAAGTAACAATTGTCGCAGAGTGTATCACATGTCAGTCCATTAAAAAAAAAAAGAAAAAAAAAGAAAAAAAATAGTTTTATATTACTCTGAAATTTGTGCACAATAAATGTTCTTTAAACTAAGATCCTTGAATTAATTGTATTCTGGATTTTTTTCCCTCTTTGTTCTGTAATTATTTATGATTCTTATCTGTGTTCAGACTTGAGCTTAGTTTGTTAATATGTATAATTTAGCATTTATTGCATTCATATGTAAATAGGAGCAAGTATTGTAAACTATTTCATTGCTGGGGTTGTGGGTGTTATACATACACACATTTAGGATTGCAGTTTTTTGGTATAATTTTTTGTATTGTAAAATAACAGCTAATTTAAAGCCGGAACGAGAAAATTCTTGGGAGGTCTGTGCATTTTAAATACAAATGTGAAGTACATGTATATAAATAAAGGTAAATAATGCAAATCTTTCCTCTGAAATAAAAAGTAGATGATCTGGTTAAAATTTCCCTCTTATTTATTTTCTTAAGGGGGCGGGGGGATAATTCAAAGTGTTTTGAAGGCTTCTGGCTGAGGTGAAGGGGAGTTTCTGTTCTGCTAGGGCGGTGTCAGTGGGCTCCTGGCAGGTGCTGGATTTGGGAGGAGAAAGGAGGGACATGTCCTCTGGATGGGGGATGGATGGATGTAATTCAAAGAGTTAAATCTGTAGATTTTAAAGACAGAGACAGTCATTAAATAGGTTCCATTTCTACCCTCAGGTTCACTTTCCCCCAGGTGCCCCTCGGGGGGAAGAACCTTTCCTGACCTCCAGCCTGACCCTGCTCCAGGCGTTCGTTCCCTGTCCCTGTCCCTGTCACAGAGAGCAGAAATCAGAGCTGCCCCTCCTGACATAACCCCCACAGACATAAAATCTCAGCCCCTTCCCTTCCTACGCTCACTAATAATTTTTGTCCAGTAAATTTCTTGTTTAAATCCAGGTAGGAAAAGCTCTCCCCCATGGAAACTGTATCACAGTTTTGCTGATGATTTATCAAGTGTTGGCACCAGCTGCTGTTCCAGACACACACAACAGCTGGAGAGGGAGGCAGAGGTGGCTGCTCCTCTCCCACCCCTGTGCATCAGGACATCTCCCACCACAGGGACTTACCTGTGGTTTGTTGGCTGCTGCAAGGCTCCTGCCCTTCACAAAATCTTGCAGTTTGGTGAAATAACTGTAGTACTAAAGACTGCCTGTCTCATGGTTATTCAGGCACTGGGGAAGTGACACTATTAGTGACAATAAACATCTTGCTGTGGAAAGATCAGCTGGAATTTTTGACTGACAGACTCTTCACTTTACAAACTACAAAAGCTGCACCAGACTTTCACAAAGCAAAAGTCTTCTGCACATTCCCTAGAAATTTGTGGGGCTTTTCCCCATAGTTGGGACATCGATTTTGTGGTTACTCTCTCAAGGACTGAGTGGAAGGACTCTGTGTACTCTATAGGTGGTAAGTTCCACTGACTCCTGTTCTCTACTGTGCCTTTGCTAGCTTTAATGTATATAGCTATAATATATAACAATATATATTTAATATATAACAATAACCTCAATGTTGTGCACTGTTTTATGTAATCTCTCAGCAGTTCTCTTGTTTTGTACTGTGCAGGAACTGTTTAAGGCCTTTTGTCTGTTACCTCCTGTCTGCTCAGTAAATAACACATTTTATAATAGCCCTAATCAGCAGCCTTAGGATCTCTCGAGCCAGAGGATTGAGGTGCAGGTCACCTAAGCAGAGCTGCTGCCAAGAGCCTGTGCCTGAGGCAGGGCTTGTCTCAAGCTGTCACTTGATCTGTGACACCCCGGCAGCCGCGCTCGAGCCCTGCCGGGACGCAATCCGCTGCTCCCCATTTATTTTTATGTCACTCTCCAACTTTGGAATTAAGCACTGCTGGGATGAAGCAGAGTTGAACCTGACATTTATGAGCTGTGAGGGTTTCAGCCACAGTCGCCTCTGAAGGCTGTTGTGCTGCTTCATTCCATGGCATTAAACGGGGATGCAGGAGCCCAATTCCAGCAATTGCTGCAGAGCTGAGCAGGGGATGCCAGGCTGACAGCACAGCGTGGGGTGTCCAGACTTGAAATGAAATGGGCAGGGGGTAGTGGTTTTAGAGCTGCTTTAAATTTATTTTGGACAGCAGGAAAAACCACAGAGGGCTGGAGCCATTTTTCATCCCTGCTCTGATTTTTCTTGTGTTGTAGCAAAGAAAAGAGGCTGAAAGAGAAAGAACATGGAGGTTTTCCAAGGCTTTCATCCATCCAGGATGATGGTCTTTGTCTACAGCTGTCATTAATGAATGGTTTTGGGTAAGGAGCCAGAGAGGAATTTCAGGTCCAGTTTTCTTTCCACAAACCTTAAATATCAACCACTCACAGCAAGAAGGGACTTTAAGTCTTTTTGAAAACCAATTTAACTCCCCCAGAAATTCTGGGGTGGAGGCTGGGTGGAAGAAACCCCCAGGAAAAGGTGGGGTTGGGGCAGCTCTTGGGTATTTCCACGTGGCTGGTTGGTGGTAAATCATCTACAACATGGCAGAAACACCAACATTTCCTTTTTCACCATTGATGGGAAGAGAGGAGGAAGGGAGATGTACAAAAGAGCCAGAGCTCCATAGCCAGCTGCCATTTGGGAAAAAAGAATTAGCAGATTCTTGATTCTTGAATTTCTCCCTGGGGTTTTTGGTTTCTGAAGTGATCAAGCAGCAGAGCAGGTATTGCAGAGACAGAGTGGTACCACTGAGATCTTGCCAAAGGCATGACATGGGGGGAGATTTTCTAATGAGGTGAGAGCACCTGCTGGTGATTTTCCTGGCTGGTAATGAAGCTGGACCCAGGTGTCAGCATCACTGGAGGTGGGCTGAGCTCCTCACCTTCCCCATTGCAGGGTGGCTGGGAACAGCAACACATCCCAGACTGTGTCAGAGTCCCAACACCCTTGGCCACAGGATTTGGGGACACCATTGCCACCCTATGGAAGCTCTGAGGTAAGGTACCTGATGTCCTTCAGGCACTTCTTCTCCTTGGTGACTCCTGAGGCTCAGTGACAACCTTGGGATTTGGGATCTGCACTAGAGAAATCTTCCCCACAAACAAAGAACAAGATCTCAGGGCTCAAACTGCACTGGAATTTATGTTTTTCATTGGCATGTAGAGCTGGGACAAGGGGGGATGGCTTCCAACTGCCACAGGGCAGGGATGGATGGGACACTGGGAATAAATTCTCCCCTATGACAGTGTAAGGCCCTGGCACAGATGCCCAGAGCAGCTGTGGCTGCTCCTGGATCCCTGGCAGTGCCCAAGGCCAGGCTGGACATTGGGGCTGGAGCACCCTGGGACAGTGGGAGGTGTCCCTGCCATGGCAGGGGGGGAATTAAATTGTCTTTACAGCCCCTTCCAACTCAAACTATTCTATGAGTCTATGATCAGCTGCAGGATGAGGCCCTTCCTTCCCCCTCCTCTCTGTGTTCCTGGGCCACATGCATCATTCAGAAACCACATCTGCAGGGAATTTAGCCAAAAACACTGACTTGGCCACCCTGGCTCTAGCAAGAAGGACAGCACCTTTTCCCTCTTTATTTCCCTGCTGCTGACAAGAAGCCCAGGTGCAGTTCCACAAACCTGTCAGGGCAGGGACTGTTTCTGATCTTCCCCTACCGTGGTGAGCAGCAATGCCATGGGAGCATGGGATTTAGTCTGGCCTGGTCCTCATGCTGATCCCTGAATTCAGTTTGGAAGCAGAACTTCAGTGGGTAGGTCTGGATTGTGGTGGCTGACCATGAAGTACTGTCTGGATGAGGAATTGGAGCAGAGCTCAGACATGTCTGCATCCATCCATCCATCCATCCATCCATCCATCCATCCATCCATCCATCCATCCATCCATCCATCCATCCCACCTGCAGCTGGCTGTTTAGCAGCTCTGCCTTCCAGGCTGCAGCCACAATGAGCCTCCCACAGGGTGACTGGCAGGATTTCCATTGACATGTTCCCTGGGATCCTTGCTCCCACCAGAAATCATTTCCACTTCCCCTTAGAAAAAAACCCACCAAATGACTTGAACATTTTTCATGTCAGAGCTAATTCTGCAGCTTTTCCCTTTGGCAAACATCCACTATTTTTGCAGAAATTCAGTGTTTTAGTAACCGAAGCAAGATGTCTCCATCCCTACCAGCATTTTAGCACTGTTTGCTTGGAGGCAATGTGGGGTAAATTGTTGTTTCTGATTTCTACATCCCCTTGCAGCAGTTGAACCTCAGCTGCAGGATTTTACTTGTGCTGTGTCTGCAGCCCCAGTGTGATGGGGACTGTGGGTCCTGTCTGCAGGTCTCTCCTCCAAACCTGCTGCGCTGCTCCAGGTGTGTCATGGAAACATGGAATGGTTTGGGCTGGAAGGGACTTTAAACACCATCTGGACTTTAAACACTCTCTTGCCATGGACAGGGACCCCTTCCATTGGAGCAGGCTGCCCCAAGCTCTGTCTGTCCTGTCCTGGGGGCCACACAGGTGAAGTAAGAAAAGGTGAGACCTTTTCTCTGGAAATGTGAAAAAATTACTTCCTGTGCTCCTTTCCCGGTGTTTAATGTCTGGGGCTGGAGGAGGGAGTGGTGCTCAGTTTTGTTGTGGGCACAGCCAGCACCCCCAAACCATACCCAGACCCAGAGACAGGGAAGAACTGAGGGTCAGCCAAAGCCTCTTCCAGCCATTGGTGCTTCTGCTGCTCCAGAATCTCCTCACCCAAAATTTGGGGTGATTCCCAGGCTTTCTTGGAGCCAGCTGCTCCACGCCAGAGCAGGGCTGCTGCAGCCAGCCCCCGAGCTGAGCCCCACGTGCTGTCCCTGAGCAGAGCCTGGGGGGTCCCACTGGGAGTCCTGAGAGCCCCTTGGATGCCAGGACCCCCTGGACCCCCCTGCAGCTCCTCCAGCCCAGCTCTGGGCGCTGACCCTGCCCGAGCAGCTGCTTGCCAAGGGCCAGGGAAAGCCCCTCAGCCCTGCTGGGCTTCCATAGCATGGAAGTTTCCACAGTCTCAGGTTCAGCTGGCTGGAACCTCCACAGGAATTGTCCTTTGAGTCAGCAAAGCCCAGCCTGGGTGCTGTGGGGAGGAAAAAGGCTTTGAGGAGAGTCCAAGTCCTTCTCTAACCCTCAGGTTCTGCTGCTCAGCTGCATCCTCAGCTGCTCCATGCTCACATGGAGGCAAACATGATTTACGGGAGGAAGAAGTGCAACATTTATGTGCTCAACCTTGAACTCACTTAAGGAACTGACTTGAATTTTATTAATTATTTTTATAAAAATTTTATGTATTTGTATTTTCAAAATTTTCCCCTACTCAGAATTGGCAAGAAAGCATTCCATTTACCTCTAATCAAATTTCCTGTGATTTCTTTTTTTTTAAGTTGCCAAGAATAGCTCACGGATGTTCATGGCCTGAGCAGAAGCCTTCCTGGCTGGCATGACCCACCACCCTG